GGGGGGTCGTATTTTCAGGAAATATCACAACCCAATGGCGTGCCCTGAAACCAGCGCCAAATATTGCCATTGAAGTCGAACATCAGTGGCCATGAGTGATAGCTATTGGGTCTTCTGATCTAATCTAAGCTGTTTTCTGATTGCAGGTTATGATGCCCTCAAACAGATCCGTGGAGTACGAACCCAAGCCGAGTGCTTACCCAGCTCAAACAGTCTCCATTCTGCGATCAGCTCCCAGAACGCTGATGCTGTTGCTGATCTCATTGAAAAAGGTGTTGACGTTAACGACAAGGTTGGTTTGAATGAAATCATGCACGATCACTACAAATTGAATGTTCAACACGAGGTATAATAATTCTGTGTTTGCTTCAAATTGAATGGATAAAATTTGGCCATTTCAGGTATCTTCAAAGCGTCTCACTCTGCGCCAGGCTGCCATTCAACAGTGTCGTGAAAAGCGTCAGCAGTCCACATTGAATCGCGTGCGCGAGCGAATTACTCTGATCAACGCCCTATTAGCAGTTCACGATTGGCGACGCGGTAGCATCGAGGCACGTGCTATCCGAGCAACACTGGAAAAGAATTGTGACGATTGTGCGCAGTTCCACGCGAAGGAATTGCACGTCAAGGTAGGCATGGTGGGAGAATTCTCACCGACACTTCTCATGGTTCCATCACATTAGGTTGGCGGAGCAGCCACAGTGGAAGCAGACTCAATCTGGAGCAGCCTTTATGTGGAGTTGGACGCCGGTGCTTCAGTGATGATTTCCGGACAGGTGAAGCTGACTTCTCTCCTACTGACATCTGGGAAAACGGTGACGACGACTGTAGATGCTATCGTGGCTTTGGAGATGTTTGGACGCCTCAACTGCACACGGTAAGCTACTGTAATCCATCGTAGGTTCTGGGGTCTATGTTGATATGTCTGGGTTGAGTGGAAAGCCTGCGGCACTTTGAGATGGTGATTTGCAAATGTTTTGCGAAAGCAGAAAGAGGCTCGGGTAAGAAAGTCTCCTATATTGCTGGTAGAATTGTATGAAATGCTCCACTATACGCTTTTGGGAACATTGACCGTGGTAAAAGCGACAGAGTCTGCCCTAACATGCCCCAGGAGATGGCTTATCCAATTCCTCACAAACACCTGAAACAGCGAGGCAATTCTGTGCTGACTGCTCTCGCGCATGTGACCGCGTTCCGTAGATACGGCCTTCCTAAAGACCATTTGTTCAAAAACAGACCCCGCGCTCACGCCAATTCATAGGCGTTCTCCATTGCACAGGTAGCCTGTTACAGCTCCTCAGATTATGCTACTTTCGCGGCTAAATAGAAGTGCTATTTATGAATACAGCAGCACCTTAACAGTTTAGCGAAGGTGCTGCTGTATTCATAAATAGCACTTCTGAGGCCTCTCTAGTTGCACCCTAACCAAAACTGAAAGGGCATGTTCTGTCACGAGTTCCTATTTTACACCATGTTTTTCGTTTTTTCGCTGTTAGATACGCTTGCTAGTATTAGCATTGGATGACGTGAAACGACTGATGAGCCAAAGGTGGCAGGACATCGCTTTGCTGGCATAGAACGAACAGCTCTGTAAAACGTATACTGAGGGTGCCAGCTCCTCAATTAGGGTGTTCTCCATTATATTTTTGCTTCTCTGTTCTTCCCAGGAAAATCATTCGGCGACTAAGGTAGTGATTAAACACCACGCGTGTTTTTTTTCGAGCTCTAGAGCACTGTCCACGACGCAGTTGGAATTTGAAACGCAAGTACATAGCTACTTCACTCCTACGCCCGCAAAACCGGATAAGCTCAGTAGGCAAAGCGCTTGTGAGCTGGGGGAAGATCGTCGGTAGTGATGCCGAATTCATTGTCGTAAGACGTATTCTAATGGGGTATGTGACAAGAGAATCGTAATTCACCGCGCTGGTGGGGTGCAACATCGCACAGCAAATGATGGTCCTAAGTAGTAGATGGCGACAACAGGCAATTCAGAACCGAAAATAGTCATGAATGTCTACGATGACGGGGTCTACATGAAGTCCGGTGCTTCAATCGACAGGTTAACACGAGTTGACGAAACGCCGCTCCCATCGCCTCGTGCGGCGCAGCGGCAAATCACGATTCTCTTGCCCGTCTCCCATTTCAATGATACCATCGATAACTCATTTCTCACACTACGAGTCACTTTAATTCGTTTTGTCAAACTGCTCCGATTCAAATGTAGATGAGAGGAGAAATTTATTGATCATGTTCGAAAAATGCGGAAACGGTAGTTGTAAACAGCATTGAAGTGTGAGAGGTGTCCATAAGTTATAGGAATTTGTTTATCCCTTTTCAGATTTTTGTGCGATGGAATTTGGACGGTCGGCGAGAATTTCGTGCTGGACGCATGCGGCGACATACGCTTTGGAAATCATTCGTATATAGAAACAGAAAAGGTGAGCGTTCATCTTACAGGAACACGGATTATTGTTCTTATATAGGATTTCAGATGGAAATGGTCTCTGGCTCGACATGCGTAATTGATGGTTCATGGCAGATCGGGACCTGCTGGATGCTGATCGAAGCAAAGCTGACCATAGGCGCTACTGCTAAGCTTTTCATAGAAGAGTCGGCTACAATCGGCGCGCATGGGTACGGGTATTTTCAACTGTTTTCAATTTCTTTGTGATTGGAGAACCATTAGTAATTATAGTTTATCTGGACGCAATCCGGCGGGCGGGCTTGGCACGCGGAGTGAGCGCAACCGCGAATGCATTTTAACAATTGTTACCGGTTCAAATAGAAAAGAACCGAAGGCAGAAAACGACATAGGTGCGATCACTCCATTCCTGCTGGCAGCTCGCCCGGTTGTGACGATGTCATATGGGAGTGATCATAGAGCTGTCCCTTTGATGTTATCTTCATGCCAACTTTCAGACTGATGTGTCACGGCTTTTGCAATGTGGTCGAGACTTGCGATCTACAACTGAAGGACTCCGCTCATTTCTTCCACTCTTCAAAGCTTGAATGCCACACGCTGAAATTGGCCTGCGAGCTCCATTGCACTCTGGGCGGTATATGGATTGCGGATAATATGAATGTGAGTTTGAAATCACATTAACCCCTTATGCCGCGGCGTTCTTCCTTTGGTGGTTAGGATATCGGACCATGTCTACTAAGCTTTCCACCAGGGATAGGTTCACAGTCGCCCTCATTCAGAGAGACATTCTGCGGTGATCTTACATTCAGAATTCCTTTCCTGTACAAGATGGAGTCCGCCATTGCGAAAGATGACCTACTTTCTTGCCTCTGTGCGGACAACAATCATACTAGCATGGGACCATGTCTGTCGTCCCACTCGTTTTTCTGTTCCCTCTTGCTTTGCCTCTGGTCTTCGACCTAAATATGCATTTTCTCGCTCACTTGGATGCTCTTGCTATGCTGAAAATGTGGCTGCCCTCAAAGTGAACTTTGCGACGATTTCTCCTGCCCTATCCCCGCCGGCATAGTCGTTGTCACTGATGTGGAGCTGAGAGAAGCGTACTGTTTGCCGCAGCGCCGGTCATTTTCCTTTGATCATTGCGGGTTCAAACCTTCAATGTGACTTAGGGAAAACCCACGCTACGTTGACCATTCCCAAATAAATTCAGTTATAATGACTGTAGTTGCTCTTGAACCTAATAAACTATTGTTTCTCAAATAATCACATATGTCTTCGAATTTAGAGAAGCGCGAGCGGTGTGAATTTCACGACGTTTTACTTTTGCAGGTATATGTCCGCCATGATCTTATCACCACGTCGACTGGAAAAGCAGCCGTTTTCACACGAGCAAACCTTACGGTTGGCTCCTTTCGGAATGACTCGCTATGGCAGGTAGGAAACAGTTTTCCGGAGCTACTGCTTGTTCGCTGCTGACCTTCACGCTTTGGCTTGAATAAAATTCTTGCTTGAAGTTGCTCAGTCCTAGTAGACTTATACCACGTCAGGGGTTCGTATTTATGAATTAAGGCAATATCTTGCGATGATAGCAGGCGTTTCGCGATTGCTATACAGGGCAAGATACAAGATTTGCCATGGTTGGCATATAGAATTGTAGTCAGCCCTCTAGCCTTCCAGGAATGCATAACAGCAGTCTCAGGAGATAGGGCACACCATTGGAATAGACAGATGGCAGCGTCAGCACGACAAAAAGAAGGTCCTGCACGACCTATCCCTCCTCCCATTTGTAGCGGCGTTTAGGGAGAATGAGTGGAAAAAAAGTCTAGGTATGCACTCTTCGCTCACAACACTCCCATCCTCAGCGGCCAAGCACAACCCCTCTGATGAGCTTCTTTCGACTATGCTGTTCCCTGTCACAAGTGTGCTCACGGACTTTATTATAAGTGCGCAACAGACAGAAATCTTAACCAACTATCCACAAATATGCTGTCTTTTGGAAACTATGATGCTCCCCAACCAAGGCTGATTAAATAACTATAAATCAGTACTATAATAAAAGTAAATCAGTGCAGCTACTAAATGTTCACCCATCAATGTCCCGCAGTAATGGGCGATTCATGGTGAATGTGTGCTCTTTTCCAACCTGACTGAATGCGCTTACTTAGGTGAATGATATATCTATTAGGAGAAAATTCAATGAGAAGCGCAAATTATACGCAAATCATATATGCATCCTCGAAAGAGATTATCTCAACAACACAATGCCGTACACTATTTACTGATCATGAGACGCGATGCTTCTACTGTCAGATTTCAGGTTGAAAAAGACTGCCAAATTATTGTTGGCTGTCTGGAACAATCTGAAGACGGCACTATTTTTGTGAAACAGAACCTTGCCCTTTTTGTTTATCGCGACTCAGTCGGTTGCTTTGCTGGAAGAATCGTCTGCAGTCACCTAGATATGAGGTGAGTTTTTTTCTCCAATATTTAGGCAGCCTGTTTCTGCCTTTCTTCACTGTGACCGTTGCAAAATATGGATATTGATCAAGCCCACACTCCCTGGTAAGAAATCGTTTACGGTGAGGTAGTACAAATGTGTTGGTACTGGGAAACTCAGTAGCGAATAGGAGGGCAAGAAAAAAGTCGAAATTTTCCCGTGTAAAACCCGCCGTCGTTGGGCGTTGTACTAGAATGTGAAGGAAAGGGACAGCGCGTGCGGGGAGAGCCTAAACGAAAGAGTAACACGAGAACACAAAAGGCTGCGTTCATACCTTGCGGCGTCCACTTTCGAGCGTGCGGCAGCTGGGAAAGTATAGGTATCGATCTAGCGTCTGCAAGCGTGTGCATGCGTGCACCAGCGTTTACCAGCGTCCGGGAGAGGGAGTATGGGATAGGAGGGCAGCAGACAGCTGGTACAATCCTATCACACCATACTCTCTAGCAGCAATCTATTAGCCTCCTATTGCGCCATACTCTTCTCTACCGGACTGGCGAACGCTTCAAGACGCTGGCGGACGCTGGCAGACGCTGGATCGATATCTATATGACGGACGCTCGAAACGCTTGTGGACTCTGCCGCAAAGTATGAACGCAGCCTGCTCCTGCTCAGTTTCCAGCCCGAGACGGGCTTTTCTCTGTTAGTTGCTGATCAAGGTTACCTATTTACATGGGTGGTTATCTGATCAACGGGAAGTATGTGTATTGGGAGAGGCATAGAATCGATATCCATTCTGGACACGTATGCTAGAAGAATTAGCTGACGTGAGAGTAAGTTCCCTGAAAAGAAATACATGATTGGTTTCTGGGATAGATTTGGTCTGGTATTCTGACTCAACTGATTCGTTTCAGGTGTTTCCGACGGTGTCAATATGACGGCTACCTGAAAGCGAATGATGCAGAAATCTACCTGCCCTACATGAATGAATCGCAGCTGATCGCCACTGGTCATATGGATATCCTTATCTCACCATTAACATTGAAAGGCAACAGTTCGTTTGTGGAAGTCACGCCAACAACCCCACATCCGTTTCCGGCGTTCATACTCGACGGCCAGCTGAATGTGCATGCCGTAGTTGCTCCATTTCTTGCAGTCGAGCTTTCTCCAGAATCATTGGTGAGGCTTCGCGGCATTGAGTCGACCATACCTGGAGCAGATTTCAATATTCTGATGTCTGTGGGAGCCCTCACCACTGGAAGAAGCAGCTCGATGTTGTCTGTGGCTGACAATGTCAAAGCCGAGGGCATCATCTGTGCGTCGACGTTCTACCATGAGGGACAGATCAGATTCCAGGCTGAAGACGTGCATATACTAACAGGATCATTGGTTCACAAAGGGCGTTTGACCAATTGCGAACACAAGCAGAACCATGTGAAACGCTGCCATATCGTCGTCGAGGAGATGTTCCTTAATGAAGGCACACTGGCTTGTAATGCTTTGGACATCATGGGTGAAGGCGTGCTTGAAAACAGGAATAGGATCTTCGCCGTCGAGAACATGGATATTCGTTTGAACAACTTCAGTAACGATGATGGACTGATGGAATCAAAGAATTCGATCAAACTACTCTCAGCAACGAAGGAGTGGACGAAGCTAGGCGGTTCTATCAAAGCCAAGCGCGGATTCGACTTGTGCGCGCACAAGCTGGATATGGCCCTAAACGATGTGCACAAGCTGATCAACGAGAAGAAACTCTCGTTCTCAGCGAGAAGCGATCTGATTATTTCAACAAACATATGCGACGAAATGAAGGAGTTTGTCGTTGGCTGTGCAGCCCAGAACTCAGTGGCCATCAACGCCGTTATGGAATTGGACAGATTGGAGATACTTCTCGGAGGAGAGCACCATGTTGATGCTCCAGTCACATTCAAAATGACTACAGAAGCTGATGTCAGTGTCAATACACTTGTCATCAATGGATCGGCCAACCACCTTGTCATAGTAATTGACGGTGTGCTTCGCTGCAATCGCGTCAAGGTCGCTGATGCTTTCAGAAATGTCACCATCACCGGAAAAGGATCACTGGATAGTCAGCTGGTAGCGGCTGAAGGCTCCAACATTAACTTCAATGTCTACCAAATCTTCCGCACAAACGAGGTGTTTTGCAGGAATGTGATTGTGCAGCAAGACTCCCTGTTGCGCCTGAAACCCTCTGACGACCATGACGTCACCACCGTATCCTGTGACAGGATGCTAATTGAAGGTACTGTATTCGTCGAGCGCAAACTGCTGTTGGTCTCAAAGAAATCTGATACTGGAGAACTACAAATTCGTGGCCCAATAATTGGCACCACGTCAGACAGTGAAGTGTCCGTAGAAAGCACGAAAGTTTCGATTTCCGGCCAAGTGGCCAATTTGAAATTACTGGAGATTTACGCCCGTGACACGATTCACTTCTCGATGGCTAAGCTGAAAAACGTTAGATCCGTAACTCTGGACTGCAGTGAGCTGATTCTGAATGCAGATGTTGACTCATGTGACAGTTTAGTTGTGAACGCTGAAGCAGTGAATTTATCGGGCACATGCTCTAGCTCAAGCTCATCTGGAGGACTTTCCGTATACTGTAGCTCGCTGCAATCGTCCATCGATGTCAGCAATATTACCAATATCAATTTTAGCTGCAGAAGAGCAGCGTTGATCAGAGGAACTATTAAGAACGTGGACGAAATTGAAATCGACGCAAAGTGGATCAATAATCATGCCTCACTAGAAAAATGCCAGAATGTCATGCTTACTGCGTGGTCCATACACAACTGCGGTTCTTCTACACTGAAAAAGTTGAAAATGACGTCACTCGGAGTTGTAATCAATAATGGCGAGATAAGAGCTGCTGAGCTCAACATCACGGCCCCATTCATAGTCGCAGTTCAGCCGTCGTCAGCTTTGATTGCGGAGAAGCTGGAGCTCAACTCTCTCTGTCTTTGCGCCAACAGTGACCAGAAGCTAAGTGGAACGAATTATCTGTGGTTTGTTTTCGAGGAGATGGTCTACAAACCAAAACTGACCGTTACGCAAGCCAATAGTTGGAAAGAGACTGCTGACATGATGAAGGATCGCTTCAGTAGTCCCACTATAGATGTTGATGAAGTGATCGTTGGACTGAAATATCTCAGCGATTTGACTGTGACTAAGATTACACTGGACACCGATAATGTGATATACGAGGAGCTGTGCAGAATGACTCAACGGTTCGACAGCGCGCCTATCAGTCTGTTCAACATTGCTGATCTTGTGGCTTTGATTCATGGAGCGCGGTCAGCGTTCGCCGTTTCGACATCTTTGGAAAGGAATGACGAGAATCGAAGGCGAAAAAAGAAGAGTTACGGTGAGTTACTCAAACTCTCATATGCTACACAGGGGAAAAACAACTCCCGGTTCAGTTTTGACTCGTGGAAACAGCTCTATTTTTGGGGTTTGAAGCGCACTCGTGTATAGGGTGTCCTTTTCCTTAGAAGGCTTAGTTTTTCCTGGCTTTCCGTCCGTCTGTTTTGTTCATTTCGTACACTTGATATGTAATAGAAGTGTTTCGGATTCAGGTAGTAAGAAAAATATGAAAAAAGCTAAAGAACAGCTGCCGTGTCCAGAAACTTTTCGCTCCGTTGCCGCCTACTCGCACCTCTTCAAGCGTGCTGATAAATGCGCCTCATACCCCCGAAGCAGGGTAGTTTCAACCGTAATCAACCCAACCAAACTGTTTTGATTCGTGGTAAAATTATTGAGAGAATTCGGTCACAGCCGACAACCCAAACTTATCAATATTAAAAAAACCTTGCGGTATCACTCGAAATAGTCTCAAATGGCCCCGATCTAACTTTGTGAGAAGGCACACATATGATCTAATGCATCAGGTTCACGATGTGGGTGCCTTACCCACCCCTCTTTGGTTACTTTTCTCCTACTTTTTATCCATACAGTCGCTCTGCGGTTATACGTGTACCGGAAATGCACGCGCGTTCGTCATGCTCTGAATATATCTTCACTGTAACCCTCACCTTGTGACTTGGGCACTTCTAAATCGACTCTCAAGCGAGACATACATGTAGTTATGAACAATCCCTTCCATTGTTCTACTGAGCTGAAAGGCTGTGACCATGACCACGGATATCCTCATATTAACGGGATCGATGACATGGGTGCATGATGGGAGATTCCGTCGTTTTCTGTTTTTCCTTGCTGGTTTATGAAAAAAGTGCACTGAAGGTAATTTAGGAAGCTCACTCTACGAAGGCCTCGTTCAGTTCAAATCTGCCAAGTATGGTAAGGAATCTCGTGGCTCCTCTGATACTGACGTTGGCTACGTTAGCCGAAGTTCCAGTGAAGAGTTGGATCGATCAAGGTGAGCCATCCTTGTACTCACCTACACTTGAACGGTTACCGTCAATCGCAGATGTATTAAATATTATTCAGGTCGCCGAGATCGCCAGATATGCCGGCGTGTAGTTTGTTTAGTGAGAACCATTTCCACGCCATCGAGGAAAAATTGGAAAGGTCGTACGTGAATGACATCACTGTTGAAGAGTTGAACGCGTCTTTGATTGAGTAAGTTTCCAGCGCATTGACTGATCTGTTCTGAGCTGACCATTCATGCTTCATCCATTGTCTTGGTGTGATGAGCAAACGGTATCACGGGTGTAGCACAACAAATCGAAGAGACACATATTCCACGATCACCTTGTGGGCGGGGAATAGGTTCAGACTCATGATTGTTCCTCCTTCTTCATTGGTGGGTATATGGGCCTTGCTTTCTCAGTCCACCCCCTTATGGAGTGCGTCTTCGAGAACAAGTTGTACACTCACCTTCAGGGATCTTCATTTCCATGTGCGAGGTGAATTTGTCCGCAGCTGCAGAAGCTTGGCTCTATTCCGCCTAAAAGTGTACGGGAACGCGGCTGAAGGGCAGTCACACAGGAGTGTCCTCTCTCGACTCTGTCCACGCTGATCTCAAGGTGTAACATCGCATCCATTCCGAAACCCCCTTCAACACCTAGTTTTCCCCTCTGCAAACTCGCCGTGGGGAGGCGCAGATAATCAGCGCGTTCAGATAGGAGGCCAGGATGCGACGAGTGGCCGGGTCATGCCGCAGCGCGGGCGGGAATCGGGAAAGGCATCATGGTTCTGCTACCTTCCGGCTCCGTTTCCGTACACTTTTGAGTGGAGCAAGTGACACGCTACTGCAGCTGCGGATCCATTCACCTGGCAGATGACAAGTAGCAGCACCCGAAACATTGTTGTATGTGTTGTGAAAAGTGAACTTTTCTTGGAAGTCCCTTATTTACAGGCAGGAAGAACTTGCAGAGTTTGAGCTACTTGAACAGGAAATCGAGGAAGGCGAAGATGGATTAGTTCGAACCGATTATATTGTCTGTCGAGATGAACGTATACAGTTAGCGCGGTGAGAGTTCACCTTATCTTATTTGAGCTAATGCATAAATTTTCCCTGGAGGCGTAGTCACCGTGGATCTCAGGTTACACTCTTCGTTTTGTAAGAAAACTTGTGGAGTCGCATCGGATTGTTCCCGTATAGAATTTCAATGAATGTCGTGAAAGCCACCAAGCCCAGCAAATTCATGTCCCCTAAGCTGAGCTGTACTAGATCCATCTCTTTGCTCGTCAGCTAGCATTCTGCAATGAATGTGCAGGACACCTTCTATCCGCGACCAGAGAATACCTGATATGCTGTTTGTGCGGCACAAGCAGCAACCCTTACCGCGAAGTTACCTAAAACGCTCTGTGAGATTGCAACTTTACGACACCATGGTTGGTTCCAGGTCTGCTGTATAGAAAGCACGTCTTATCGTTATCGGCAAGACCTACCCATCCTTCAGTCCCATTCTTCAAAAACCAGCAACGCGCAGAAAGTTCTTGAGGGGGCGTTCAGACTTCGCGATCGCATCGCTAGGCGGCGCGTTGATCGCGAATTCTGAATGTTGCCTAACGGCGCATAGACCGCGCCCCTCTGAGAGCGACGAACAACTACGGTCAATCTGCTTTTGGGAGTGTCCGAAAGTTGTGGATAGTGCGCACGAAACAAGAAAAACCAACTATCAAAGGAAGTTTTCTCAATTAGTACGACCCTTCCCTACAGCGACCAGACTCGACCCACGTCGGGGACTTCGCTGCATATGACGAGCCGAGAGTGTAGAAGACAACGCCAATTTTTGCTCCCTTCACAAGTAACCGCCATAGTCTGATGTCCCTTCCAAAAACGTATTGTTTCAGTCTTCGACAGCGCACGTTTACTTCACAACCTCCTCGACCGAAGCCTCATTTCCCGATTGTTAGGGTGCCGTCTTCGAACGATTTAGTCATGAAACGATTGCAGGTATTAGCTGATATCCCGAATTGATATGACATTACAATTCCTCGTCAAATTACAATATTCTTAAGGTAAAAGCGACTTTGTCAAATCTCGATCTCCGATCTTAGCTGATATCCCGAATTGATATGACATTACAATTCCTCGTGCAGTCTCAAATTACAATATTCTTAAGGTAAAAGCGACTTTGTCAAATCTCGATCTCCGATCTTTCGGAAGCGAAACTTCGCTGACTTCGCTCGACCTTACGAGTGCAGGCGATCTCGGCTCTCCTATGCAGTTTGCCGCCAGTCCATTCCAGAGGTGTGTTTTGCCATTCAATATCTGTGATTGATGAGACTTAGCTGCAGTAGTGAAACTTTTCTTCAGATCTCGTATTCCACGAGGTTCATTTCGCACTTCAAGGAAGCCGACTGCTTTTGGAGTCTGATGTCAATGACGTGTCCCATGGAACTGCTTTTGTTCTGGAGTCCACATTGACCGCGGTCGGTCACACTGTGAAGGGTTGTACAAATGAGTCATTGTATTGCCTAAATTTAGTGGTTCTTAACCGCTCAATGCATGTGTTCACGATGACAAATAAGACCCAGTTGGGCGAATCGTCGGGGCTGAAAGTCACTTTATGGATACATATGTTGTCAAAGCCACTATACATTGCTTCACTGGATAAATAGGCTCACAAGGGTTAGTCCGCGCATTATAAAGAGTGAGCGCAGCTTGTAGTGGAGTGCTGTGCAGTATGTAGAATTTTTATTCGGCCTGCTCTTATGCGCTCTGTCCCCATTGCTCTTTTCTGCTTTTCATACTAGTTATTCGTACGAGATATTATAAAAGCACTGGGACCTAAAATCTTACCTGAATCCCTGGATTAGGAGTTCTAAGACCAGGTGTAGGATTTCCGGAACACCGGAAGCCTACGACCTCAGGACAGCACTTTGGCTGGCGCATGGAATCGTTTCATGTCCAATATTTATCGTAGTTACGGTCAGATTGCAATCAGAAGTAGTATGGCTTTGGATTCAGAACTTACGATGACTCAGATACTGCGAGGTTGTAAGAAAAGAGATGGTGTTAGTCTGTAAGTAAGGTGATTCTGAACCAGCGCTTATTAGTGGAGCAGATCAAAACTTCTGTCACAACTCATGAATGAATGCTGAAAATATCGAATCTACGGGAAGGACGCTTTCTTGGTGCTAACTCGAAAAGTGTGTCAACTTTGTAAACTTATTGCCACATTTCAAGAATTCTGCTTCCTCGCAAGTCACGTGCTTATTCTAATCCCGTGCTTGTACTTATCCACATCCTCGATTCCCATGGAGAACCATCCATCAATTCACCAATGCTTCCTGAGGAAATTGATGCCCTTAACAGCGTCAGAATCGTCTAGATTCTGACAAGGCCACTCCCTTTTTGACGCCGTGTCCCCCTTAGACATGATATTTGACACCTACTTACTCTTTTCCATTTTTCAAGCAATTTGCAATGATTGCATGTGTTTCATATCACGTAGCAATACTGTACCCCCCGCTTCCGTTACTAATATTGGCCTTGTTTTGTTCCGACGATGCATGTACAAAGATTTCTTCGAAATCTTTGGAAGCTTTCCGTGGAAAAACGGTTCGAAATAGAGAAGCAAAGTAATCTCTAGTGGATGTTCTGACCGCAATCCACCTCCCTGATCTCAATTTCGCGTTAGCCTCAATATGCTCTCTTGTGGAGTGGCTGCAAGTGTGCTGACATGGATGTCTTCTCACCTTCGCGCTACTTCAGTAAATTAACAGCGGGAACTCGTTCGGCTTCCTGTCTTTGCTAGCGGTCACGCCTCCATCTTTCCTTTTACCGCACCCGAGGGCATTTTGCGGACGAGTGTGAAGGCCCGTATACCGCCGCACCAGTGTACAAACTTGTAGAATGGTCGCTTGCTTGTTTGCTTGCTTTTTTAGTTTCAAGAGTTCGTATCTAGCGTGAGCATATTCTTACTGATCCGAGTGTGGGACTCGATTAGGAACATGAGCAGCATACTAACTCCCTCCTACTCCTATGACGCGAACACAGCCTTTTAGACAGGTCGATATCCTAAGGTATGTCATGTAGGCTGCGTCAGTAGTATATAAAGCTGCTCTGCCTTTGCGCTTATCCAGCAGATATCCATACCCCTAGTATAGGGAGGTTGCGCAGGGTATACCACTTGAACCTGGCGTAAGGAAGTGTTTTCCATCTCACCTCGCTAACAACCTGCCTTGTGCTGAAGAAAAACTGCTCAAAGACCCGAAGCGGTTATATTTCACCGTAAGCGCAGCTGCCTCCACGTCCCAATGATGTGCGCAGCCGCCCTCTCTATAGCCGCAAAATGGGCTGTATGTATCCTCATCACGAATTCCACCTTGCGTGCTTCAATAGTCCATAACAGGTGCTCCAGGCGGAAATCGGATGCGTAGGTTAGGCACACAGCTAATGCCACCCCGTCGAGGAGTGAATCCAACGTTATTGGCTCGTTTTTATAATAAGCACTAAGAATAGCCTACTTACAGAGTTGTGCGTGGGGATGGGGAGGGAGTGGGTTCTGCATGGCGCTAGCCACCTCTTGGTCACCCACCCCCAACTCAGTCCTCTGCAAGCATTTGCAGCGGATAAAATGTGTTCTCGCCACTAGGTCAGAACAGCCGCAAAAGCGCAGAATTATTTCCGTTAAAAACGGAATTTCGAGTCTCCGCATGCGCCTCACTACTTGTGCTGAACCTTGAACCATACTCTTAATTGTATTGTTGCGTTGTTATATTGTTGCGTAAACATAAATAGGGTAAAACGCTCAACTAACAGATCGCTTCCAAGCGATCGATAGCTTCCTTTGATCTGCTCATTTTGATCAATAATTGACTATTGTCAAATGACATTACAGAGTCATATGCATATTGATCTACATGTATTACTTAATGACATTACTTGCGTTTTATTCTAAGTTGTGTCTTGAATGTTCACGTTGTTCAGTTTTTGCCCAATTATTTGAGAGGTATCGATTGATTGAGTGATCAATTTTTAACTACTGAGAATCTTTTTCCTGTAAATACGTATGCCTTTCTTGATTGGTTGTTATTGTTATGTCACGGGTTGTGTAATAATAAAACGTGGATATGTCAGTATTTGATATGACTCACAGGCCGTGAGCATGCTTGCTTGGTTCTCCGGAGAAAACGTTAGCAGGGCCACTTTGTAGTACGAAAGTATGGCTAGAACGAGGCGCGACGGCCTGATACGCTCAAGATTGGGCCCTTATTAACCGCCCCGATCAGGAAGGGCACGAGTCCACGCCTGGGATAAATGTTCGGTGTCGAAAATCAAGATGAAAAAAAATTATAGAAAATATGAAAACGTCTTGAAAAGGCATTAGCTGACTTTACGACAATGCCAACAGAGTCCTGTAGCAGGGATATACCAATGACATTTTCACCAATCGGCTATCAAAGATTCGCGGGAATCAAAGTGAGCAAAAAATAAACAAGTCTAGAACCAAAACCGGCACTTGCAAGGAAACCTTGCACTCTGCCGAATAAAGATATTTTCGTTATCAGTAAGGGATTTTCTGTACAAAATGAACCCTGAAAAGGGGGATGCATGCCATTTAGGAGCAGGTTCAGGGTGGAGATAGCTGATCCGATTGTGACCCAATTGCTGAACGGCGCGGCCATTTGTGGGCGTGTCGTTGTTGGATGAAGTACAGCCTGCTATGTCAAGCCTCTCTGAGATGCTTGAGAGCAGCTTTTTTGGGATTTTCGAGAAAGACGTCATGTAAGGCTTGCTCGCTCGGAGGCGCAGAATCCTTTGGTGATGGGTGTGCTGTGCTCATCTTACATGGGTAGAGTATTTATCTCGCCTTTTGCCTTTAAGAAAGCTTCCCTGACCAGTTCCGAGTTGACAACCTTGTCCTCTAAGTCTCCCTTAACAGGTGTTGATCGTTAGTTCATAGTAGCGTTGTTTTCCGTAAACTACAATGCCGGTCACTAGAGCCGCTAGCTTCTCATTCAGCACATAAATAAGAAGGTCACAAAGAATATAGCCGTTTGCCTTATGCAGACACCTCCAATCTACAAGGTAACCATCATTCATGACTAGGACTAGTGCCCATCTTTTGCACAGCTTCTCATTTCCATTCTTATAGAACTACGGCAACTATGATAAAAAGAAGAGGACCTCATTTTCGAGTAGACGTCGATTTTCGGAATTTTTGCTTTCTAAAGGATGCGGTAGGGATCAAAGGAGGTGGTAATTAGAGGCTGCTAACTTTGATAAATAAGCTGGGTACGGTCGCATTCTCTGATCGAGATCCACGATCTTTTGGTGTTGCCTGATCATGTGGTCTTCGCATTGCCGAGTAGTAGAAAGAGAATTGAGTATTTCTGAATGAATTCAAGCGTGACGTCATCCATGTTTTGAAGTTGATTAGAGTGGACTGTGGTCCTTACAGCTGTGCTAGTATCCAGCGATACCGCTTTGAAGTCCCACCAATAACACACTGAAATCTTTATCCCATGCACATCTGCTTTTGGCTAAGCAATCTACTTTTCTGTTTGAGAGATCCTGCGAGGGACATGTGCATGATGTACGCAAGGACTCCAACACTCGCTACCAACCACAGGATCTCACAACAGACTGGTCGAACTCATGAGGCATACTCCACAAAAAATTTCTCTACAACCGAGATTGCGGAGAAGCATGGCAGTTGTCAGTCAGGTGGAGCCTAGAGAGGTTGCCAACTTACTGGTGGTTACGTTCGGCTGCGCCTCAAGAAGCTTGAGTAAACGGTCCGTCATTCTGTGCTGGTGGCCGACCTATACATTGCCTACCTCCGAATTAAATAACTCCAGCTCTCAAGCGCTGATACAAACGGGACACTGTGGCATGGCGAGCGACATCCTTCCTGAAGACAACGCAGGTGGTAGCTCCCTCGACTACGCCGGAGTGGCCCTACAGGAACTCATAATATGGGATAGGTCGAAAAGTACCTTGAAATTTGGGGACTTTTAAGCTTTGAAATCTTCCGCAAAGTCATGATATACCCGTCTGCAAAAACCTCAGAGGACACTCTTCACTAATCAGTGGTGCAAAACATTGAAAATGTTTTTTGGTCTTTTTCTAGAACAATTCAATCAAAGTGTCGCAGGACTTTTGGTCCAACCTAATATTTGACCGCGAGGGAAGAGGGAGGCGGGCGAGGGGAGGGGGTCGTATTTGTCTTGAGAGGAATTTGCGGCGTTGGAAAAAACTTTTCCCGGTTGTTGACTTTTTGCGGTTTTTCCCGTTTTACAGTTGTTATATACCACCCCTAGTATGTGGCGCCGCCAAGGTTCTATACAACCGCTATTTCCGATGCTTGAAGTGAGACCTGCGAGCTCCTGTGAGGATGGAGCAAGCTCGTTAAGCCATCATGGTAAA